ATGGAGCACTGGGTGTTATACACAAACAATGAATCATGGAACACTACATCAAAAACTAATGATGTAATGTATGGTGATTAACATAACATAATTATTAAAAAAAAAGATATCAAAAAAAAAAAAAAAGAAAGAGGATGGGAGAAAAAGGGATGTGGAATTGTGATATCAGAGCAAGAAAGCCTCAGGCAGCCTGGCAGAGGGCTCAGGATGAGTTCTGCCGGCAAAGTTGTCCGCATCAGGTTGGAACAGCTGGGCTTTGTATCGATACCAGCTTCACTCAGTCACTGGATACAAGTGGCCCTGGAAAGAATGTGACCTTGTGTCAGATGGGCTTCTGCAGGGAAGATGGATCCAGAAGGAACTGACAGCTAGAGGCTGTCTACTGATCCTGCTCTCCAGAGCTAGGCAGCAGTTTCTTCCTTGAATGGAGGATTCGATGAAAGAGCTTCATGTCTACCGCAGTAATATGAAAGCAACATCATAACTCCATCAGGGTACAGCTCATTAATACGAGAATATCACGAAGGTACCATAGATAAGCATTGTCAGTGAGGTTATTGCCCCACAAATACACGGAATCGAATCTTATGAAAGGGCATCTAATGCTTTCTGACTTTCAGATGTGGTCTATTTATCTAGGTAACAGATTATGAATATTGAACATTTCTGAACAGAATTTCATCCTGAATTCTTAAATATTTTCTGTCTCCTAATTGTAAAATCATCCAGGTTGCCCCATGCTTAGGAATACAGTTTGACTGGTGTAGATGGAGGGAAGAGAGAATGGACCTAGATTTTCAGTATACTTGGGAAATTTTAGGAAACCGGAGGTGTCATCAGGACATTGAGCTCTTGGTTGGAGTAGTGATGCCCAGAGGCAAGTATGCAGCTTAGAAAGTAAGGTAAGAGATATCAAAAAGGCAGTTGGACTGGTGCTGCCTGCTTCCTTCCAAGGACCCTGAGATGCTAAACTGACTGGATTTACCTTTTGTCCCCCAAATCCTTCTTGCGATCCAGATCATTTTCTTTATCGTGAATTCACTCTAGACTTTGTGACTATACTGAACAGACTCATATTTACCAAATAAAGACTAGAAAGAAGTTTTCCACAGATTTGCATTTGTCGTAGGTGGTAGCCTGACACCCGGAGCCCAGCCTCCCCCTAGTCTCCCAGGGGTTCCTCTCCAGTGGTCTCTACATTTCTGGGGGAGAATATGCAACATTTAGCCCAAACTTCCTTCAAATTAAAAATAGGTAAGAGATAAAAGATTGAAATGAGATTCTGAGAAGCAGATAATTTCAAACATTAAAATAATCCACGTATATGATCCATTGAATTTGACCATCATATGGAAAATGTAAAAACCTCAAATTGAAATTCAAGAGTATGCAACCAAGGAGGTAAGGTCTTCTGTTTATAGGTGTGTATATTGTTGTTGGGATGGTTTCATCTCTTGCTCTGTGTTTTTTTGTTTGTTTCACTGTTTTGCATGTATGTTGGTGCAAAATAAGCAAAACCTAGTTAATTACATACCCAGTTATATATATTCATCAAAGGAGACTATGTTTTAGAGCATAGAGACACACACATTAAACACAAAATATGATACATCCCTTTGTAATTGATATTCTTTTATTGGTTTACACCAATAAGTGGATTAAACCAATGGCTTAAGAAACAGGCCACTCATCTAGATGCTGATAACACGTTCTCCTTTGGTTAGTTGCACTTTACAACTAAGCATCCTTGAAAATTCCCTCCAGCTCAGTCTTACGGTCTTCTGTTTGTTTTTCTTGCTACGCTAGCTCAGGGTCTCTGCTAGTCAGAACTTCCTCATTGTGCTCTTTTCCTTGTTATTGCTCAGTGATATCTTTGCTTGCTTGTTACCTACTCTAAGGCAAGCATTCAGGTTTTCTGGTTCTGGAAGACTCCTGACTCCTTTTCAGAGCAGCATGGTCACAGGGACACATCTTCTATCCATTCTTTGATTAAGCTGAGCACCTCAGCTGTCTCAGGGACGTGGTCATTGGTCACTGTCCTCAGATAGGCAGTGTGGCGGGGCCTGACCCACCACTGCTGGTGGTGTATTTTCAGTCTGCTGGGCTCCTCTTCCAGGCTCTCACTGCCCTTCCCAGACTATTTTGGTCAACAGCAAGGGCGTTCAATCCAATTAAGGGCCATCTGCAGTGGTTTCTGGAAAGAGACACAGAAGGATATCTGCTCTAAAAAAACACAGATAACCAGCTCTATAATCTTCGGATGCTTCCTTTTTCAAATGTTCCTTCCTCCCATTTCCTGCTACTGTGCTGAATGTTAAAACACTTGCTCATGTGCAGGAAGGAACCTTTAAGTTCAGATGCAGTATCTAAGCATTTTTTGTTTTCTCAAACAGACAGAAGCAAATGCATTATGTATTTTAACCCTGTGACAAACTCCGTCCACAGACTTTTATTACCTTATCTTGTTCCTTAGCATTGATACTTTGTTGCTCTTTCAGATCATCTGGATACAGAAATGTATGAACTCTTTTTTTTTTTTTTAATTGAAATAGAGTTGACACATAATGTTACATTACTTTCAGGTGAAAAATGTGTGAACTGTTAACAATAGTTCCATAGTTTTAGAGTTAGAAATTCCATCTGGGCAAGGACAGCAGTCCCAGAGCTCTGCAAGGAGCAGGACTTGGCTGATTTTGATGAGAAAATAGATTCCTTGGTGAAGTAGAAGCTCCTGCAGGAAGACCCATAAAGCCCAAATACCCTACGGTTCTGTTTATGCCTCTGTGGTTTTGTAAGAGAATTATTTTTGTAGCTTTAATATGATGCCTTAATGTTGAATGATTATACCAATTATTTGGTATAAACTATCGTGGAACTCATGTTATGATTTTACGTAGAGATGCTGAGATGAATCTTCATGCCAGAAGGAGGGCAAGTGCTAGGGTAAAGTCAGTGATGACATTGACTGAGAAGATCACCCTGTCATAACCAAGATAGATGGGTGGGTGGGGAGAGAGACAGAGGGACAGAGAGAGAGGATAGATAATCGATAGTTATCTTCGATAACAAATCAAACTGACAAATGCACAGGACTCGACTTTAAAAGCGTGCAGCTCTCATTTAAGTCAATGTTGGATTCTGGCTTGATTGTTATCCTATGTGCTAAATATAAAAACTAAATACTAATTCCAGTTATCTCCTGGACCCCCTTTAGGTTTATGATAAAAGTAAAAAACAAAACAAACAAACAAAAAACCCCAAAACCCCAGAAAACATAAATGGTGATCAGTTTGAGTATAGCCCTCAACAATCCATTTGCTAATGCAGATTAAACATCTAATTTGAGAAAGAGGTTGGAATTTGGAATCCCAGGTCATCTGAGACAGCATTGGCTTCTTTCTCGTTACATGGTTGAGATTAAAGCCCTAAAGCCCATAACCTTACTGAGTCTGGTGTCCTCTTCGTCCTGTTTACCCACTAGGTTGTATGGAACTCAAATGAGAAACCGCAGGTGGAAGTTTTGTAAACCACAAAGCTCTTTATGCAGATTTTCTACTGAAGCAGAATGCACATTCACACAATGTGTGACCTTGACAACACAAAGTGATTTCCATTAACTCCTAAAATCTTCACTGGTAGGTCACAGACTGGTAAGTCTCTGATCCATTCTCCAAGGACAAGAAGCCCACACAACGAAACATTCTCATTTTAACAGAATTTTCCCACCCTTGGCCTCTCCTGTACCATAGGGCATATAGATCACATGATGGGAGTGGCAACTGTTTGCAGAACACTCTGAAGTAAAGTCCGTTCCTACTCCAGGCTTCACTCAAAGATGGCAGCCTTCCCAGTGAGGCAGTGCATGGGCTGGAGAGTATTACTAGGTACTGGTCTTCTATTGGTAGAGGATGCAAGATGTGGCAATTCATCTCTTACTTTGGAGGAGATATGCAGAGCACCCCTGACCACTAGACCGAGAACGCCTTCAGTGACGTGATGGGTTCCTTATCCTCAGATGATTTGTCTCCTACTCTCTGGAGCATTTGTGTCTTCCCCATGTGAACAGTGGTGCCCTAGTCATCTCTCCTTGTCCTGATAGATCAGCATGATGTTATCGATGTATCAATATGATGTTCTGGGAGACACTCTAGATCTCTTAAGACTGTAACAGAGGCAAGAGGGTTAATGTAGCCCTGAGGCAAAACTATCAAGGAATATTATTGTGTAACTCACCTGACTATGAACTTTTTTCTAATCAGAATAGAAAAGACTCACTAGCTGATTCTGTTCACGGAACAGATACCATGTCTGGCAAAGCAGCTGTTGCATTCTGTTTGAGCTTCCAATAATCTGGTTGTTCTTCAGGATCCATCTGGTTTCTGGAGGGATAGTAAATTAAATGAAGATGTGGTAGATACACTTCCTTTGTGTCCTGTATGTCATTAATGGTCTCTACTTTCCCTCTCCTCAAGATGTGGTGTTGTTCTTGATTCAGGGTCTTGGCTGGGGGTGGGTTGAAGGAATTGTCAGAAGTGTCCACTTTCCCTTCCCCATTATGTGAGACTTCTTACCCAACAGGCTCAGGACCCAACGTGGGGGTTATTCCCAATACCAAGTGTAATTAATTCCTTTTTTTTTTTTAAAGATTTCATTTATTTATTTATCAGACAGAGAGAGAGAGAGCATGCACAAGCTGGGGGACTGGCAGAAGGGACAAGGAGAAGCAGGCTCCCCGCTGAGGGAGCCCAGTGTGGGACTCGATACCAGGACCTAGGGATCATGACATGAGCCAAAGGCAGACGCTTAACTGACTGAGCCATCCAGGCATACCTAAGTATATTAATTCTAATGTTATACCTGGTGTTAGAGAAATGGCCACTGGGTGTGTTCATAGACCCGGTGGGACCACATAAAGCTGGGCTTTGACCATAACTCCATTTATTACCTTGACTTCATGTGCCCATTCTAACAATGAGGCTATAGTGACATTTTGGTTTTCTAAATATCAGTGTCCATTTAGGCCCTATGCCCAATAGCTCTAGAAATGTCTGAGGACTTTTTTTTCTCCCTCCAGTGCACAGTCATCCAAGTAAATGGCTGTAGGTCACTTTGAGTAAGGACTAGGGGAAACCATCAGAGTATATACTTGTCAAGATGTTTTGGGTTCCTTCCTTCTGGCTACTTCTTCAGACAGAAGATTCTGGATCTGAAAATTAGCTCAGGACTGGGAACTACACAAGGAATAATAAGTTTTTATTGGAGTGATGGTGACTGCCTCTTACTCTCATTCTTGACTCGTTCTGGTTGTAGCTATTAAGCAGCATCCCGTTGGCTGCCTACCTGTTCTGCCCCCATTTGGTGGTAAGGCTTCTACATTCTTCTTCAAGTAGAATGTAGAAAAATATTGCTTCTAAGTAGACTGTGTAAAGTTAAGTGTGTCTCTTGTAATCCCTAGAGCAACCGCTAAAATAACTACACAAATATATGTGGTTTAACATCACAGTGGATAAATTGGAATACTTAAATTTTTCAGATAAGACAAAAGAAGGTAGGAAATGAGAAACAGAAGAATGAAAATCAGAGAAAATACATAACAACATGGCAGAACTAAATCCTGAAATATCAGTAGTTAGGTTAAATGTAACTGGTCTACACATACCAATTAAAAGGCATGTGTTATCAGATTGGATTTAAACAAACAAATGAACAAAAATGATGTCAATGTAGGCTGTCTAAAAGAAGCTCACTTCATATAGAGTTATATAGATAGTTGAAAATAAAAAGATGGAAGAAATATACCATGGGAACCAATCAAAAGGAAGTGGGAATGGTTATATTAAAATCAGACAAAGTAGGAGCGCCTGGGTGGCTCAGTTGGTTAAGTGTCTGCCTTTGGCTCAGGTCATAATCCCAGCGTCCTGGGATCAAGCCCCGCATCGGGCTCCCTGCTCAGCGGGAAGCCTGCTTCTCCCTTTCCCACTCCCCCTGTTTATGTTCCCTCTCTCGCTGTGTCTCTCTCTGTCAAATAAATAAATAAAATCTTAAAAAAAAAAAAAATCAGACAAAGTAGACTTCCGAGCATAGAAAGTCACCAGGAATAGAGATGGGCATTATTACATAATGATAAAAAGGTCAATTCACCAAGAAGACATACCAGTTCTAACTATCTATGTACCTAACACCACAGTGTCAAAGCGGATTGGACAAGACTAGTGAGATCTGAAAGGAAAACAGAAAAATCCATAATTTTTGTTAACATCGTCAGTACTCCTCTCTCAGTAATCAGCAGACCTAGTAAACAGAAAACCAGCAAAAATATAGAAAAACTGAACAGCACCATCAACCAACTAGATCTAACGGATATCTATGTAATACTCCACGCACTCAACAGCAAAATGCACTTCTCCTCAAGTGCATGTGGAATATTCACCAAGACAGATCATATCCTGGATCACAAAACAAGTCCTAACAAATTTGACATACAAAATAAATTTTTTGACCATCATACAATTAAACTAGAAATCAATAACCAAAATATAACAGGAGCATCTCCAGACACTTGGAAATTGGCCCATGTTTCAATAATTCACGGGTCAAAGACTAAGTCATGAGGGAGATTAGAAATATTCTGAGCTGAGTAAAAATGAAAAACAAATGAAAACCCTGATTATCCAAGTGATGATGTCAATCAGGCATGTGTTATCAGATTGGATTTAAACAAACAAATGAACAAAAGAGGAGCTTTTCTCTGATTCAACTGTTTACTTTCTCTTCAAAGGCACTGCTTTCAATGGTGATATTAGCCAACAGTTACATGGGAAAGAATAGACAAAAGCTTAGGAATACTGGAACTCCCTGATAAGATTGCTCCTTATGATATGATATGGACAGGCCACCAAGTGTAAATTCCACTGCGTTCTGCAGGATTTGGCCGAATGTCAATGAGAAGCCCAACGGTCCAAGAGGGATCACGTGAATGCAATGTTTGGCAGGGCCCACAGAGCCCAGGCTGTAACTTCTGAAGCCGGCCTTCACAGGAACTTTTCATAGAAGTCAGTTAAAGCAGATTCTAGAGATGTGGTAGAAACCAGGGAAAAATGTGCATTGTTTTCTTCTAAATAAGGAGATCAGTGGATAAACTGTGCTTCTCAGAGTCCTGGCCTCAAATGTCTCAAAAGTAAGTTCACCGTATTTTTTCCGTGTTGTGATTTGTGTTTGGAGGTTTTGTTTTTTCCTTTTTTTCCCTCTCGCAAAATTAGAAATAAGCCTTTAGGAATTGAATGCTGACCCTCTGTGGGAAAATCATTTTGAAAACTAATGGGCTATCTTGATGTTTTTGAACACTCAGTGTTTAATATTGTGTAAATGAAAGCACTGAATTAAAATACAGTGTTTTATTAAACATTATGCAATTGTTAAATGATTTTTAACCAGAAACTGAGCTTGGAAATAAGCCGAAATTTGCTTTAAAAATTTAGGAAGAACTAAGTATCTTGAGAATTGATTTGTAAACCTGAGTTTTTTCCAAAGTGATAGATATTTACTTTTATTGCCCAATAATGTTAGGGCATTTTGGATAAACTGTTCTATGACTCTGAGACTGTTTACCAAAAGCATTTACAGAAATATTTGTCTTGTCTCTGGCTCTCACTCTGGGGCTCTGCAAATTTGGGAAATGTAAGATGCTTTCCAGGATCTTTTACTCTGTGCACAAGATGTACTGAGTCAGAATTGAAATATGCCACGTTTCCTTATCACAATATTATTTCAAATGCACTTTATTTCCGTAAACAGAGATTTCAAGCTCCTCAAATGTTAGCATTTTGCTCTGACTTTAACAAACATATAAGAGGAAAAAAATCAGAGTCCTCACAACTTGAAACTGTCTGCTGCATGCATAGTAAGGAATTCAGGTTGTTCGTCTTTTGATAAACTACAGAACACACATGAGTTGGGGGGAAATAAAGTAGGTGATACTAATTTCCGAAGGAAAACCGAAGGGACTGGAGCCAGGCAGAAGTTTCTTAATCTGGCTAAAGCCTATCCAAGCCTTTTCAGGTGGAGTTTCTACCTTCCATCGCAAGAACAAGCTCAAATATATCACAGCATCTCCAGAGTAACCTGGGTAATCCATTAGCAAATTTAATTAACTATAGGTGGCTAAAATAAATTCACTTTGTGTATTCTTTAAAGATTGAACAAATTTCTGTATAATAATAACCAGAATGATCAGGTTTGAAATTCAGCAGAGAGATAATTTCTAGAAAGTCTTTGTCTATAAGAGGATAGGGATAGTAAATTATGTGGAGTTTCCATTTGAAAAAGAAAGATATTTTTCCAGGAAAGACCCCACATTAAGAGTAGTCATTGAAGGAATATCTTTTATAAGTATCTTTGTATCTTTGGGACAGGAAGAAAACATGGGGAGGGATCCTTGATAAATTTCAGTAGAAGGTAATATGGACAAAACTAGAAGCAGAGGAAAAGCAGGCTTCAAGTGAGAATAAAACACAGTGAAAGATAATCCAAAATGAAAATTTATACATGACTAAATTCACTTCTTAAAAATATAGCATCTATCAGCTTGGATTTCTAAAAAGAAATTATGAATCTTTCTTACATTAATCACACATTAAAAAATTTTGCAAAAGGTTAAAAATAAAGAGATGGATAGGGGCACCTGGGTGTCTCAGTCGTTAGGCATCTGCCTTCGGCTCAGGTCATGATCCCAGGGTCCTGGGATCGAGTCCCGCATCGGGCT